GGAAGCTCTCCTGCAGCCCCCCAATTGCCTCCTCTCCCCAGATGGCAGCCTGTGGCAAGTGCAGCCGGTCTGATGGCCGAGTGGTGTGATGTGCCCAGTGTGGGTACTCTGGGCAATCCAAGCCAGGACTGCTTTGCAAGCGGGGCATCCTGAGAACTGTCTGTCCGGGGTGGGGTCGGGACCCTTTAAGCACAGCCCTCGGCTAGCCTGAGACAGCATCTCCACGCTCTAAGTCCTCCTCTGATGCCCTGCCGGCACTGCTTCCGGCCATCCTTAAGCCTGGTTCAGGGACTAGGTCTAGACGCGTTAGTTCGAATTAACGTTGTAGTGTAGACGTACCCTCAGAGAGTAGTTAGTAATAGTTCACAATAACAAGTGGGGTTTCGCAGGGGTCTGTTTTTCTGACCGGCTCTGTTCAATATCTTCATCAACGATTTAGATATTGGCATAGAAAGTACACTTATAAAGTTTGCAGATGATACCAAGCTGGGAAGGGTAGCGACTAATCTGGAGGATAGGGTCATAATTCAAAACAACCTGGACAAAATGGAGAAATGGTCTGAGATAAATAGGATGAAGTTTAATAAAGTCAAATGCAAAGTGCTCCACTTAGGAAGGAACAATCAGTTTCACACATACAGAATGGGAAGCAACAGTCTGGGAAGGAGTACGGCAGAAAGGGATCTAGGGGTTATAGTGGACCACAAGCTGAATATGAGTCAGCAGTGTGATTGTGTTGCAAACATGATTCTGGGATGTATTAACAGGTGTGCCACTTGACTAAACACTTGAGGATCTCCATCTGTTCCTCCATCATTCTGATGATGCATTCAGTGATCTGCTTAGCAAAAGCCTGGTTGTCCTGGTGGTTCCTCAGCTCCCTTTTCAAGGGTTGTTCCTGATGGCTGCATTCACTTGCTGATTGATTTATCACTTCACAAAATCCTTGTTTCTTTTAGAGTGCTTCCTTATCTGTTGCAAGCTCTCGGACACAGTCCATGACAGAGCCATGAAGGTCTCAGCTGTTCATAATGCACTAAAAGGTGTCTAAGATCAAATCTTACATTGTAACATTTCACTTACAAACTCATTTTCCAACAGTTCCACTCATTCTCAAGCGCTGTAATCATGAGTGAGGGGTGGGAGCGGATGCTGGTTGTGCATACGGACAAAAGGAAATTCCAGCTGGGGCTAGAAAATTGCGGGAAAATAGTTCTAATTATGCCACACTTCTCCACGGACAGATAACATCAAGTAACTTCATTTGAGTTACGATACAGTGTAGACACACCCTGTCTGGGCTGCTGGACACAGGAGGAGACACTATCAACCTGCATGTAGTGTATTGCCAACCCCAAGAGTTCAAAACTCATGAATTAGTCCCTCTGTCCCCCAAAAGAAAATGGCTGCATGAAATCACAGATAAAAATACACTTGGAGATCTTTTTATTTGGTATCTAGAGTTTGAGGTCTTTGACTGAATTCAGGGCACATTCTCTAACTTTTCTCCACAAACAATGAGACCTAAAGTCTTCCTTAAAAAAAAAAGAGGGAGAGGCTGGGATTCTCTTCTAATAGCACACACCAACAAACCAGTGTAATCTACTGAATCAGAGTGACCACAGTCAATTGCAGTGCATGATGCATCAGGTAGTGATGATCCCAGATCTGGCTTAATTCTGATAACATGGCTGGGGCTTTCCAGAAGGAAAAAAAAAACCCCAATTATCAGACAGACAGCTTGTGATCAAATCAGGAGAACTGGCATCACTGATATCAAGTCAGTTTCACAAAACGAGTGAATAGTTTCACAGCTTATACCTAGGGATAGCAAGGCTCTGCATACACCTCCCCTGAGCCACAGGGACAGGCTGGCAGCAGCATGGAGCTAGCAGCTGAAAACCACTTTGGCCCCAGCCACTCTGGCTCCACTGCACTGCCAGTGGTAGTGGTGGTGGGGGGTCACTGGTGGGTTTTTCATTGCCTGGGGGCGGCAGGTGAGACAGGGAGACACTGGGTGAAGGGGGGAAGAGAGTGTGGGCCAGCAGGCAGGGCCAGGAGACATGGGCAGGGGGAGGGGAAATGCATGGCAACCTCTGCAAAGTCCTGCCAGGGAATGGTGCCTGCTGGCCTACTGCTAATATTTGAGGACTGGTACTAGCCCTAAAGTGAATTGAGTTTGAGACTCTTGCCCTACCCTATCCTTTAGCCCTGGTGTTCATGTGAGTGTAACCCTCCTGCCAGCTAGAACCAGCAGCAGCCAGGGCTAGGTTCAATACCTAGGGATTTCTCTTCATCCATCCAACACACCTGGGAAATTCACAGAATTTCTGGGCATCTCTGGGAGGCAATGCTTCCCCACTCACAAGCACAGAGTGTAGAAAAGAAATGTTATTAAAAGGGAGGGAAGAAACATGGCATTAATTTGAGAAAACACCACAGAGTTCATAACCAAACCCCAAGTAGGTTGGACAATGTCCTTTCCCTTTCAGGCTCCTATGTCCAGTAATGAAAATGTCCTCTTCACATGGCAACCTTTCTCTGCAACCCACTCACAATCAGTCTCCCAAGGTTTGATTTAGCAAGTCTAGTGGGACCTGCTAAAATGACTGCTGATTGCACCTGTCTCAATTCTGAGAGTCTAGAGGGTTGGAAGGAGTAAGGGAAGTGAGTGGGAGAGTTTCTCACATCAATCTCTCTCTGTGAGACTGCCACGGTAAGTCAAGCTAAGGTACGTCGACTCTAACTATACCATTCATGTAGCTGAATTGTGTATCTTAATTCTACTTTCTCCCATAAGTGTAGACCTGGCTTTAGGTTCTGATCTGGTAAATACCTGTGCACATTGGCAACTTTACAGTGTGAGTAGTTCCCTTCCTATTAAATTATTTTACTCATGTGGTAAAGCCTCTTTCTCCACTAATTGTCTTCTTTACTCCAATGGTATTATTCATCATGAGTGAGAATATTGGAATTTGATTCCAA